ATTTTTAAAATATTTATAAATTAAGTATATTATCAAAGTATGTGTAATTATGTGTTCGAATAATATGGTTATTATGGAAATCTCTTTTATTATGATACATGTGAAATATCAAAGATTATTTATGGCATATTTGTGACTTGCTATGTAAGACATGTGATATTGAGATTTGTTTGGTATGTGAGACACGCAATATTGAGATCAGCCAGAAAAGTACCCATGATTATATACTTCTTCTAGTTTACAGAGGGGCTTTGGCCATATTCTATCCTACACGGAGGGTCTTGACCTGACATTGATCTTGATCGTGTACATATAGTTTACAGAGGGGCCTTGGTCGTGTTTTAGAATTGATTATGAGAGGTCTTTGAGACCGGCTTTCGTTCACGGAGGGGGCCAAAGGCCCTGGCGAAAGTTCTTAGCCCAAGAGGTGGATTACATATTTTAGTCAGAGAGTACATTTTTGGTGGATTTTTCAGCACGCTTGATGTGATGAGATTATAGCATGGTTATCAGCTGATGTGATATCATGATTTTAAGATGATATTTTTATGATCTTATGTGAATCTTTCACTTTTTGACTATAATTACATGATGGTAGCTTGTGAATTATCAAATGATATGAAGTTGATTTTCAATAAAAATGTATAAATGGAAAAGGTACATTTATTTTGAACTTCTCTACTCACTGAACTATCAACTCATATATTTTTCCACGTTTTTCCTTATCAGGTAACAGTTGAGAATTTGGGCATCTTTTGGAGTTGAGCCTTGATTTGGGAGTCAGAGCCACACGACAGAGTTTGTTAGTATGACTCACTTCATAGAACATGTAGATAGTATTTTGGGATCCATGTTCATGTGTAGATGTGATTTTGCATCACTTGTAGATAGTTATTGGGCTCACTATGTATTATGTATCCATATGTATATTTCATTGTATTTCTTGGTTTTTGATTTCGGTTTATTTTTATTGTGCTGTGCTATAGTTTGAGATTTGTGTAGGATTGATCACAGGTTGGTTAGTCCTATTTACAGGGGAGATAATGTCGAAATTTTGTTAGAAAAATGATGCATAAAAAGTGATAAATTGTATTTATAGTAGCCTTGATGGTGGGTCCAATTTTTAGTTGGTATCTATCATCGGCGCATGCCACGTCCGGATCTAGTGGTGTTACACGGGGCGAGGTGTGTCAGTTTGGTATCAAAGCATGCATTAGAGTTCATGGGTTTGCATTGTACATGCATACATTCTGATATTTAGCATATTATGCATAACTGTAGGTGAGTCATGCCTCGTGGTGGCAAAACTCGAAGGCTCCAAGATATGTTGTCCCAGTCTCACATTACTCCTGATAGAGATGAACTGAGAGAGCCCGAGAGAGTAGATAAATCCGTTCACCAGCCTCCTGAACAACATGGATAGGGAAATGTGATTGAAACTTATCCTATTGCTGTTGAAAGAATTGCTATTGTCGTTGCATCTGCTATGCGTAATACTGACAGAGATTTTAGTATTGAAAGGGCTACAAAGTTAGGGGCTAAAGTGTTCACTGGCACAATCGATCCTGCAGTTGCGCAGGCATGGATGACAAAGATAGAGAGGGTATTTGACGTTATGGGTTGCGCAGACGATCGGAAGTTGTGTCTTGCCACCTTCTTATTAGAGGAGGGTGCGTATGATTGGTGGCGGTCGATATGGAGCACATACCTAGACCCTTCCATCATTACTTGGATAGATTTTCGTCGTATCTTTTACGATGCCTATTACCCTCGGTCCTATAAAGATGTAAAATAGGAGGAATTTCTGAAACTAATACAAGGCCAGATGACTATTGCAGAATATCAGGTGAAATTTATTGAACTTTCAAAATATGCCCAAGTTCCGGTAAGCAACGAAATTGATAAATGTAGACGGTTTGAAAATGGGTTAAGGGAAGAAATTAGGTCAGTAGTAACAACTGCAGGGTTGAATGAATTTGGCGAATTAGTGGAATCAACTTTGAGAGTAGAAAATAGCATTTCTGATAGGCCAATTGGTAGAGAACAAATAATTTTCAGAGTAATCGATAGTCAGACAATGACAAATGCTTCTAGCTATAGACTATCACGGAGGGACAATAGAGGATTTCGACCTGGTGTGTCCAGTTCAGGTCAATTCAAATCTCGACTCCGAGGAAGTCAGGTTCCTAGATTCAGTCCCAGTACTGTACAGCAGCCATTTACCAGTCGAAATTATACTCAGGGTTCTTTCCAGAGATCATTTACTCCGAAACAGGGAAAGAGTTCTACTAGTGCCAGATTTTCTTCTTGCCAATTATGTGGAAGATCTCATCCTGGAGAGTGTTTAAAGTTCAAGGGAGTTGGTGTTTGCTATCGTTGTGACCAAGAAGGACATCTGAAAAGGAATTGCCCAGTTGTATTCTAGGAGGGTGGCATGGCACAAAAGATGTTTCCTTAGCAGAGTGCTGGTAGTACAAGATAGAATCAGACTCAGAGAAATAATTCAACTAACATAACAAGTACAAACAGTGTAACCCAGTCTAATATTGCAAGCAGTAGTGGTACAAAATTAAAAGGGCAGGTAGGATGACCGAAGACCAGGGCAAGGTTTTTTGCTATGACTCAGCAGGCGACAAAGAAGTCACCAGATGTTATCATGGGTATGTTGTCAATTTTTGATAAAAATACTCATATTTTGATTGATCCTGGATCTACACATTCTTGTATGTCATTTGCATTTACTTTATATGTGAATCAAAAGTGAGAACCTCTAGGCAGTTGTTTGGTAGTGAATACACTAGTAGGAGAATCACTATTAGCAAACAATATATATCGAGATTGTGGGACTAAGGTAAAGGAGAACGAGCTGAAGGCAAATTTAATACCTCTTGACATACATGATTTTGATGTTATCTTGGGTATGGACTTTTTGACAACAAATCGAGCTTCAGTTGATTTCTTTCGAAAGGAGGTTGTGTTTAGATAGCCAAGACAACTTGAAGTTATATTCAACGGACAGCGCAGAATTTTACTGTCTTGTGTGATATCTGCTATTGACGCTAGAAGATTACTCAACAAGGGCTGCCATGCATATTTGGCTCATTTAATTGATACAGATCTTAGTAAACTAAAACTTGAAGATATCCCAGTGGTCAAGGACTTTCCCGATGTATTTCCAGAAGAATTACCAGGCTTACCATCATACAGAGATATGGAGTTTACTATAGATCTGATTCCAGGAACTGCACCTATTTTATGGACACCATATAGAATGGCACCAGCAGAATTGAAAGAGCTAAAGGTTCAGTTGCAAGAGTTAGTAGACAAGGGTTTCATCAGACCTAGTATATCTCCGTGGGGAGTATCAATTTTGTTTGTGAAAAAAAAAATATCGCACCATGCGACTATGTATAGATTACAGACAATTGAAACAAGTGACAATTTGCAATAAATATCCTTTGCTATGTATTGATGACCTATTTGATTAGCTTCGAGGTGCTGCAGTATTTTTAAAGATTGATTTGCGTTCTGGATATCATCAACTTAAAATCAGGGACAGTGATGTGCCAAAAACTGCTTTCAGGACAAGATATGGTCATTTTGAATTTCTTGTGATGCCATTTGGGTTGACCAACGCACCAGCAACATTTATGGATATGATGAATAGAGTGTTTCGCTCATACTTAGATAGATTTGTGATTGTATTCATCGATGATATTTTAGTATACTCTCATAATGACGATGAACACACAGAGCATCTTAGAATCATCTTGCAGACTCTACGTGATGAGCAGCTGTATGCTAAATTTAGTAAATGTGAATTTTGGCTTGATAAAGTTGTATTTTGGGACATGTCATATCAGCAGAAGGAATTTATGTTTACCCGCAGAAAACAGAGGCAGTGATAAAATGGGAAAGGCCTGCTAATGTGATATAAATCCGAAGTTTTGTTGGCTTAGCAGGTTAATATCATCGTTTTGTAGAGGGATTTTCCAAAAATTGCTCTTCCTTTGACCAGCTTGACTAGAAAGAATGCTAAATTTGTTTGGAATGAAAATTGTGAAAGAAGTTTCCTCGAATTGAAGAATCGATTAGTGTCAGCCCCAATTCTTACCATTCCATCTCTCAGTAAAGAGTTTGTGATATATAGTAATGCTTCACGTTAGGGTCTTGGTTGTGTTTTGATGCAAAATGGAAAAGTTATAGCGTATGCTTCCAGGCAATTGAAGAAACGTGAACTGAGTTATCCTACACATGATTTAGAGCTAGCTGCAGTTGTCCTAGCCTTGAAAATTTGGAGACATTACTTGTATGGTGAGAAATGTCAGATATATACAAATCATAAAAGTTTAAAGTATATTTTCGATCAGAAAGAGTTAAACTTGAAGCAAAGAAGATGGTTAGAGCTGATAAAAGATTACGACTGCAAGATTGATTATCGTCCAGGGAAGGCTAATGTAGTTGCTGATACTCTCAGTCGGAAAATATCGAGACCTATGACCCAAACTAATGTAGCATGTTCATCTTTGTTTGGTGAGCTCAGAGCTTCTCATGCCCAATTATCAGTTACCAGTGTTGGAGCATTGTTTGCTGACTTCCAAGTGAGGCCTACTTTGATTGATACAGTTAGAGAAACTCAAACTTAAGATCCGGTGTTAAGCAAATTGAAAGAAGAAGTTAGTAAATGTAAGCATACAGATTATACCATTCGAGATGACAGAGCTTTAGTTATGGGAAACAGATTATGTGTTCCGGATGATTCGAAATTGAAGGGAGAAATTCTAGAAGAGGCACATAGTTCTACTTACGCGATGCATCCAGGTAGTAAAAAAATGTATCATGTACTCAAAGAACACTATTGGTGGCATGGAATGAAGAGAGAAATAGCTGAGTTTGTATCCAGATGTCTCATTTGTCAGCAAGTGAAACCAGATCGTCAGAAAACAGTAGGATTGTTACAAACGTTGCCTATTCCTGAGAGGAAATGAGAATACATTACTATGGATTTTCTATTTGGACTTCCACGGACTCAGAGTGGACATGATGACATATGGATCATTGTAGACAGATTGACGAAGACTGCTAGATTTTTGCCTATTAAAGTCACTTACTTGTTAGATAAATTGGAAAAAATATATGTTGATGAGATAATCAGTTTGTATGGGACATCAGTATCTATTGTTTCACTTCTAAATTTTGGCCCAGTTTGTAGAAAGCTACGGGTACTAAACTTCATTTCAGTACAGCTTTTCATCTACAAACAGATGGTCAGTTAGAAAGAACTATTCAGACTTTGGAAGACACGTTACGAGCTTGTGTACTACAGTTCAAAGGAATTAGGATACTCATCTTTCTTTGATGGAGTTTGCTTATAATAACAATTATCATTCGAGTATAGAAATGGCTCATTCTGAAGCACTGTATGGTAGGAAATGCAGAACTCCAGTATGTTGGGATGAAGTTGGCGAAAGAAAGCTATTGGGTCGCGAATATGTCCAGATTACTGATGCGAAAGTAAAGGTAATTAAAGAAAAATTAAAGACAGCCTAAGATAGACAGAAGAACTATGCAGATAGACGTAAAAAAAATCTTGAATTTGATGTTAGAGATAAAATTTTCCTACGATTGTCGCTATGGAAAGGTGTTATCAGATTTGGTAAACGAGGTAAATTGAGTCCGAGGTATATTAGCCCATATGAGATTGTTGAACACATCGGTCCAGTTGCGTATCGATTGGCTTTGCCAATAGAATTGTCCAGAATTCATGATGTATTCCATGTTTCTATACTTCGTAAGTATATTCCAGATCCATCTCATATTTTGGAATCACAACGAGTAGAGTTGAAGGAAAATCTTACCTATGAAGAAGAACCAGTTCTGACATTGGATAGGAAAGAACACATTTTGCGTACTAAGGCTATTCCTTTGGTTAAAGTCTTGTGGAGGAATCATGTTATAGAAGAAGCGATATGAGAAAGTGAAGAGCAGATGCGTTCTCAGTATCCCCAGATTTTAAGCACTTAGTCAATTGAATTTCGAGAATGAAATTCTTTTAAAGGGGTGAGTTTTGTAATACTTTGAAAAAAAAAAAGTCAAACAAAAAAGAAAAGAAGACAAAAGACAAAAAAAAAAAGACAAAAACAAAAACAAAAGTGGCAGGCGGTGCAAAACTAATACAAATCCAAAACCAATTTAATAACACACACATATCATACAACACATACACAAGAAAACGGACCAGAGAAGAAAAAGAGAGAAAGGAAAAAAGAGGAAAAAAAAGGGAAAAGATGAAGAAAAAAAGGGAAAAAAGGGAAAATTTGCCAATATGTTAGGAATTAAGTACTCTACCTATTAGACTTGAATTTCTCAATTTTGAAAGGTAAGTAAAAAGTTACTTATTGAAAGGTTATGTTTGATTTTATAGTTGTTAGATTAAATTTAATTTTATCGAAGGGGTTGAGTATAATAAACTATGAAATTGAGTAAAATGAAAGAAAGATTAGTTTTAATAATTAAAGAGACTTTAGAAATCGCCTAAACGTGAAATAATTATGTTTGGGTATCACTTATTTAATTAGTGAAATTACTAAAATTAGTTAATTATTGATTTAAAAATGATATCATATTTTACGCGGCGATACGAATATCAGAACAGCGTACCAATCGAATTGATTTTGACGTACATAGTTCTGTGAGTGGAAAAATATAAATATTTTTAAAATATTTATAAATTAAGTATATTGTCAAAATATGTGCAATTATGTGTTCGAATTATATTGTTATTATGGAAATCTCTTTTATTATGGTACATGTGGAATATCAAAGATTATTTATGACACATTTGTAACCTGTTATGTAAGACATGTGATATTGAAATTTGTTTGGTATGTGAGACATGCAACATTGAGATTGGTCAGAAAAGTACCAATGATTATATACTTCTTCTAATTCACAGAGGGGCCTTGGCCGTGTTCTATCCTACACGGAGGGTCTTGACTTGACATTGGTCTTGATCGTGTATATATAGTTTACATAGGGGCATTGGCCGCGTTCTAGAATTGATTATGAGAGGTCTTTGAAACAGGCTTTCGTTCACAGAGGGGGCCAAAGACCCGTGGTGAAAGTTCTTAGCCCGAGAGGTGGATTACATATTTCAGTTAGAGGGTACATTTTTGGTGAATTTTTCAGCACGATTGATGTGATAAGATTATAGCATGGTTATCAACTGATGTTATATCATGATTTTAAGATGATATTTTTATGACCTTATGTGAATATTTCACTTTTTGACTATAATTACATGATGGTAGTTTGTGAATTATCAAATGATATGAAGTTGATTTTCAATAAAAAATGTATAAATGGAAAATGTACATTTATTTTGAACTTCTCCACTCACTGAGCTATCAACTCATATATTTTTCCACGTTTTTCTTTATCTGGCAGCAGTTGAGAATTTGGACATCTTTTGGAGTGGATCCTTGATTTTGGAGTCAGAGCCACACTATAGAGTTTGTTAGTATGACTCATTTCATAGAACATGTAGTCAATATTTTGGGATGCATGTTCATGTCTAGATGTGATTTTGCATCACTTGTAGATAGTTATGAGGCTCACTATGTATTATGCATCCATATGTATATTTCATTGTATTTCTTGGTAAAAGTGGAGATTTCGGCTTATTTTTATTGTGCTGTGCTATAGTTTGAGATTTGTGTGGAATTAATCACAGGTTGGTTAGTCCTGTTTACAGTGGAGATAATGCTGAAATTTTGTTAGAAAAATGATGTATAAAAAGTGATATATTGTATTTGTGATAACTTTAATGGTGGGTTCGACTTTTAGTTGGTATTTATCATCGACGCATGCCACGTCCAGATCTAGTGGTATTACACGGGACGGGGTGTATCACAAGAATTATTATCCTAACTAAAAAACATTTGCTGCCTTCCTGTGTTGGCAGCTATAACAAAAGGGAACGAGAAAACGTGTAAAGGCAATAAAGTGAGAAGCGTGTTTGCTACTATTACAATTTATCATTCATCAAAATGACGGCGTGTTACTTAAAGTGAAATGCTGCCCTTTCTTCAATTCAAACTTCTATTAATGCTGTTAATTTTTTTTCTCTCTCTTTGGCTTTGTAATTGCTTTTCTTCCTCCATCCCCAACTCTAGTGGGTTTTTTGTCCTCAATGTTCCCCTGCATAACAAATCCTTGCTAGAGTTTGATCTTCTCGCTCAAAAGCGATGAATTGACATCTCATTTTAACGAATTTGATGATATTATTGTGTATGAAGAGGCAAGAGAAAGATCCTACCATGTGTAGCCCTTGTTTTGTATTTATAAGAGTTAGAAAATAGGTCAAAATCACATCCAATTTGGATTCGAGAAGAGTTTGAATCGTGAAAGAAAATTGTTGATTTATTTGCGAAAATAGCTCGTGTGCATGGATTGACATAACTACTGCATTTGCGCCGTTGACCAAATGTCTCTTGGTCATGAGATTAATGTATTGCGCACGCATCAAAATAGCCTAGGCGCGCTCAAGTTTGCAACATTTCATCTCTGCACAGTTTTTAATATTTTGTTCGTAACTGTTTCTCTCGAATTCTTTGAAAAGATAAATCAAAATGCTACAAATCTTCTATAAGTAGAAAATTTTTAATTCAAAATTTTGCTACCTGAAAATGGGTCTCAATCCGAGACTGAAAATTCGGAACATAACTTTTTCGATTGAAAATTGATTTGTAAAAATACTTCACCTATCCTTTGACCTCCATTTCCATCCAATTGATCATATGTGATCTTCAATCATCATTTTATGCTCCGAATCAATTATTGGATTTGCATTCTTTAGTACCCGAACTTTGGATTTCTTTCTTCTTGCTGTTTTTGTTTATTTCTTCCAATTCCACCAATTTGCCTCGTGTTACAAGTAAAAAATAAAATTAAAATCTAATTAAACCAGAAATAATCAAAATTAATTACAATTAATCTCTTTTAACGATCCAAGTAAGTGTATACATACTTATATATAACGAGCATGCCTTTTGGAACTAAATTTCCAAGTCTTAAAAGGTGATGTGGTAGACAAAATTTGAACTACTGACCTTTTGCGATTTGATAAGTATATGTTATACACTTATTTGAACCATTAAATGTGATTAATTATCGTTAATTTTGATGACTTATGACTTAATTAGATGTTAATTTTGTTTGTAAGTTAAAATTCGTGACAAATTGATGAAATTGGAAAAAATGAATGAAAAAGGGCGAAAAAGAAGGAAATCAAATTTTTCAGGACCAAATTGCACATTTGCAATAGTTGAATCGGGTTTAATATTGATGATTGGATATTTATTAGATTCAATTGGATGCCATTGGAAGCTGAAGGATTAAAATGCATGAAAAAATGGTTCACAATGAATAATTACTAAAGTTGAGGACTGAATCGCAAAAGCTAAAAAAAATGAGAGAAGACAAAAGAGAATGCCCACGAGTCAACCCAATTTAAATCAACAGAGGGCAATTTGGCTAAATGGCGCACATGCGATCAATATATAGCACCCCCGTGCTAGTCAAATCTGGGACTAATTCTTGCAATTTCGGATGCCATTATAATTATAGTTGGATTAAAACCGTGCACGAATTCAAGGCTGGCTTGTGGAGGTATATATTCAGAATTTTGATTTTAATTCAAATTCTTTGCGCGTTTTTTTTGACTCCTATAAATATATGACTTCGCCAAAACATTGGGAAACTCTCTCTAGCCTCTACTTACACAATAATATCATAAAATTTATTAAGAATAAGTGGTCAATTTATCACATTTCAGAAAGAAGATTAAACCCTAGTAAG